CTATGATGTTCCCCTTCTATCCTGTATACAGATACATACTGATCCCCAGTCTATGATGTTCCCTCTCTATCCTGTATACAGATATATATTGATCCCCAATCTACGATGTTCCCCTTCTATCCTGTATATAGATACATACTGATCCCCAGTCTATGATGTTCCCTCTATCCTGTATACAGATATATATTGATCCCCAGTCTATGATGTTCCCTCTCTATCCTGTATACAGATACATACTGATCCCCAGTCTATGATGTTCCCTCTTTATCCTGTATACAGACACATACTGATCCCCAGTCTATGATGTTCCCTCTCTATCCTGTATACAGATACATACTGATCCCCAGTCTATGATGTTCCCTCTCTATCCTGTATACAGATACATACTGATCCCCAGTCTACAGTGTCCCTATTCTTCCTGTGTAAAGAAACGTACAAATCACCAGTCTATGGGACTCCCTTTCCCTCTATGTGCAGATACATACCTATCATCAATCTGTGAGGTTTACTCTCCCCTTGTGTACTGATATATACTAAACTTTAGTCTGTGGGATCGCTTCTCCTTTTAGTGCATAGAATATATATACATACAGATCATTGATCTGTAGGGGCCCCTCTTTCCTCTGGGCACAGAAACATATTGATCACCAATCTTTGGAGTTCACTTTACCAATAAATGAATAATCAGCCTAAAAGCATGCACATCTCTCCTGTGTGCTAACATACATACTGATCACCAGTCTATGGGGTTCAATCTACCACTCTGTACATATATACAGTATTTAATCGTCGGTTATTGGGGTTCACTGTACCACTCTGTACATATATACAGTATTTAATCATAGGTTATTGGGGTTCATTGTACCACTCTGCACATTTAATTGTCGGTTATTGTTGCTCACTGTACCACTCTGTACATATATACAGTATTTAATCGTCGGATATTGGGGATCACTCTACCACAGTGTACAGATATATAGGGAATTATTTACTAAAATTGGAGGGTGCAAAATATGGTGCAGTTCTGCACAGAAACCAATCAGCTTTCGGGTTGAACAAGCTGAAGTTAGAAGCTGATTGGCTACCATGCACAGCTGCACCCGATTCTGAGTGCCCTATTGAACCTCCCCCATATTGATCATCAGCTATGGGGTCCCCTCTCCCTTCTGAGTACTGATACATACTGATCACCACTGTGTGAGGACCACAATGTTGTGCAAATTTTTGAATAGCTTGCACAGGGAAATAAAATCTATCTATCTATTTATTTAGAGACTTTCTAAATGTGTCTCCAATGCAATTGTTTGATGTAGTATTGACTTGCTAACATGACCAACAATTAGTACCTTAACCCCCAAATATCAGCTTAATTTGAAAATGGTTATTTAGAATGCTAAACTAACCATTTCAGTTTCTGAGCCTCCTTATACAGATTTATTTACACACACAGCAAACAATTTAGTACAATTCAATAAAAAAAAATTTATTGAAACTTGTTGAGACTTTGAAAATAAAATACAGGGGGAAACAATACCTATGAAACATTCATTACATCGTACATATATAAGTATGTATGTATACCTTCATATATTATTAGCCACAGAGCTCAGGGAGAAGCTGTACACAGACCAGCAGGTAAAACATGGCAGGGTCACACCGAGTTACTAAGAACAGGCTGAAATGTTCAGTAAGAAGCTGCCGGCTTGGGTTAACTCTTTCACGTCTTCCTATCAGTGTACACACCGCAGCTGTCACCTGCCCGGTATACACCCTACATGTGAACGATTGGGGGGAACACCCCTAACCATGCACATGGTCATACTGCAAACACTGTGACTGAAATGGAAATGATCCGAACTCCTTTTATTTTTTTCTCTCTGTGCCACTCATGGTTTTGTTTTGCTGTCCCTTTGGCACCCAATAGGTTAAACACACGCCAAATAAAACACAATTCGAGCCTTATTTACAAAACTATGTACAATATAAATAAATTAAAAGTTTAATAGTCAGAATCTGTCTTCCTATTTTATGTACAGGAGATACCAAATAATTACATAAATACTTTTTTTTAATAGTTGCCTCCCTTAGATAAACATTATACCCCGTTATTGCATTTATGAGTGTGTATGTATGTATATATATATATATACATATATATACACACATATGTTACATATATATATATACACACACACACACACACAAGTATATATATATATATATATATATTTAGATAGCATATGTGTGTGTGTGTGTATATATATATATAAACTTATGTTTGTATGTGTGCACGCAAGATATATATATATGTATATATATATATACACATACGCACACACGTTACATATATACACACATACATATTTTTTATATATGTATATATATATATATAGTGATGCAGTAGGGAGGGTGGGTTTGCTCATCCCAGATTGCCAAGCAGGATTTCAGGGGTCTAAGCAAATGATTCATCAGCATGCAAGCAGTGGGGCTTGAATAGCACAAAATGAAAACAAAGACAGTTTTTCTTCCTTTAAAGTACACTAATAATTAATATTATGAATAGCCAGAGCTGGCTCTATGTATAAATTACCGATATTCAAGTTTTTAGTGCGCAGTGATTGTATGTCTACATGTTCTCTGCTTACACCCCATAGAGGTATTTGTACTAAACATGCAGGTAAGCACTTGTCTAGTCGGGGGCTGGATAGTGGTGGGTAGAGGATACCTGGATATGATGTGGTTAGCAGCTTACAAGCAACCCCCTTCTGCTCCCTCCAGTCGGCTAGCTGTGGACTGAACATGTGTGCATATAGTGACTAGGGCATGGCCGAGGTACGGATCATACAAAGTGCAATGAGAAACCGAGTTTGGAATGAGACATCAAGCTCATCGTCATATCCCCCCTCCAGATACACACAAAGCCAGGCCATGGAGGCGTCAAGGGGAGCCACTTCTTGATCGCTCCTGCTTGGAGTCCAGTCCACTGACCAGGCGCTGGATGTTTTGCAGTTCACTGCTGGCCTCCTTGTCTGGACACAGTTTAGGGGATAAAGAGACAGATCCAGAGGACAAGGTTGAAGATCTGCTGGTAAGTTCAGAGTCCAGAACCGCGGAGGCGGGGCTAGGTACCAGGCTGGGGCCCTTTCCGTCTATGGTGCCATTGGGGAGTGAGTGGAGGGCAGTGGTTAGGAGGCTGCTGCTCTCAGGGATAGGCATAGGGAAGGAGTAGGGGTTATACCTCAACCTGGGGCGCACAGCATTCAGAAAGGGGTGCCTGTGGACAGCAGAGGACGCTGCAGCAGCTGCAGCCATGTATGTGTAAGGATAGGAGAAGAGTCCTCCAAAAGGGGACATGGCCAGGCCCTGCAAAATACAAAAGGGTACATCAGTCATTAACAGCCACAGCTATCACACATAGAAGCAATGATCATACAATCACAAAACCACTGCGAGATGAAACTACATTATTAATGCTATGTATAATGGAGTCTACCCAAAGAAATACTCTAGTGAATGCACAGAAGAGGTCTGGCCTTTTTTTTAGCAGCCAGAATACAAATCGGTGTCTGGCAATGAATGGAGGTCAAAGTGTACATAATTCATGACACATAACACATGAATTAAACCGAGAGATCTGTGAAAGGTGAGCAGATGAAAGAGAAAGAGTGATCGCTCGGGTATACACAGGTACAGGAGTGGCCATATTGTCGGGAAAGGCTAATTCAAGCTGCAATAAACCAAAAATGTTATCTATTGTAGCTTAGCTATTCTTAAATGTCGTGGCTGCATTCGTTTTCGGGTGTTTTAGACTTTTTTTTTCACCTGTGATCTGAGTAGTAATACACTTCACTTCCGGTCTTAAGCTGGCTACACATTCTACGATTTTTGTGTTCAATTTACTTTCAACAATAAGTGCAAGGGCCTGTCTGATTGCATACAATTTGAGAATGTTTAGGTTTGACATTATATTATGTGGTTTTGGAAAATCTAAAGGAAATTGTAGAAAAAAAAAAATTGTATAATGTGTAGTCAGCTTTAGGGTGTCTCCGCCCCACTGGAAGAGCAAAAGAGACAACTTTGGAGGGAAGCATTGCAGTCTGGGGTGAGTGTAGTGTTCTATGTACCAGCAGATTGATGGGCTTGACTAACAAAGAAAGCAAAATGTTTTTCTTATCGGGAGAAAGATTTTACATTAATGAATAAAATCGGACCATAGTAAGCACCTTTGTCAGTGGTAAATGGTTTGTCTCAACCTAACTGCCGCTTTCTGGACAGCTTGGTCTGTTAAAGAAAGTTGGAAAGTAACAGACTTAATGACCAGATCACCAGGTGAAAAAGAAAGAAAGAAAGAAAGAAAGAAAGAAAAAAGAAAGAAAGAAAGAAAGAAAGAGAGAGAAAGAAAGAAAGAAAAAGATACAAGGTAAAATACAGGTACAAAAAACATCTACTTTACATAGATCCACAGATAGCAAATATATTAAGATAATAGTGATATATAGATGTGTACTGGGGGAAATAAGAAAGAAAGAAAGAAAAAAAAAAGAAAAAATAAGTAAAGAAAGATAATATATAGATAGATAATAGAAAGATAGACAGATAGTCGAAGTAATTTACTAAAAGAGTAAGAAAAATAAGGAAGAAAATATTCAGCTACCAGGTCTAAAAATTGGTAAAAATGTTTGTTTTGGGGTTACATAGCACTTTAACCTCTGGATAGTGGACAGAGAAGACGCGGGTTCCTGGTGCAGGTAGAAGCCTATGTAGAAAGGTGTTGGGACTTTTCTGCTCTTAGTACATCAGTAATGGCAGGTGAACCTTTCTTCTCAGCTAAGGATTTTTAAAAGTGTGTCTTCTAATACATTTAGGCAAGTGCAAACCTTTTAGGCAATACTAAATATGTGTGAAACAGACATAGCCAAATAATGTCTGTGATAGGAAATGTGAGCCTTCTGAAATTTGCTCCTCTCTGGTATATAGTTGCCATACAATTTTAGTAAATTTCATAAAGATTGAATTACCTGAGAGGCAAGAACATGCTGTTGGAGGTGGAAAGGTAAAGCTGAGGCTCCTGGTAGCCCTTGAGATGAGGAGGCCATCACTGTAGACTCTAGGCTGTTCATTCCTGATGCAGCTCCTGAAACGGAGGCTAACAATGGGCTCATGCCAGTGGCCATGCTGGAAAATGCCCCTCCCATGGCAAACTGGCTGGGGTGAAGAAGTAAAGGATGAGAAGCCCCCAAGGGGTTAAAAAACTGCTGCCCACTTAAGCCAGGAGGGAATCCAAGGTTCTGTAGATGGGTTTGGCTCAGGTGGTGGGAGCTGCTTTCTGTCTGCACAGTCAAGGGTGGGAAATGCTCCTTGGAGTGTTTGGGTTCATCCAGTTTATGTGACTCCCTGGTGGGACTTTTCAGATCCTCCACACTCAGGACCCTGCCACTGGAGGAGATCTGTGCCGGGCTGTGCCTAGAATCTGGGGAGTTCTTCTCAGTCCTGGTTGAGGAGTACAGGGACAGCTTTGAGGGACTCCTCAGCTCCTTTGAGTGTTCTGTGCTGGAGGTTGTGGTGGAGATCTTGGCTGAGTCCCCGGTGTCTGGGCCAGCTTCTTCCTTACTGTCATCCTCACTGTCCCCTTCACTGTCACACAGTCCTACAACATAGACATCACATCTTCAGCAATCAGTTACCATTGTGGACTACCTTACTATACAGGCTTCAGAGTGACTTGCTACAAATAGTTTTATCTGAAGTTGTGCATTCAAGTGTAGACAAAATTCCTACATTTCCCTTACACTTATTGGGTATTTAAAATGAAACCAGCTTGCCTAATTCATTAAACTAAGTGACTTTGTAAAGTGAACATAAATCAGACCAACTGTCAACGAAAACTGTTTCCTATAGATAGCAATGCAATGAAAAAAAAAAACAAAAACAGTAAATTTCCTTGAAGCCGTCGTGGGTCTAATTATAGGTTACTTCTCCAATCTCCTTCACGTCAATTATATCGCTCTATGTATCAAACAATCGGCGTCTCCTCTACATACATGAGTACTCCAGGTCATGCAGCTATAGGCAATCACCGTTACAGAAACTAAAATATTAGAATATAATGTTATATTGCCGAACATTAACGACAATTATTATTATATTTATGAACACATACAATGGATTGTGTGAAGTAATGACTATTGGGCTGATTTACTAAAGGACATGAGAACCCCAATTGTGCGACTATTCACTTCAATTATTTGTAAACAGGAATTTGCTTTTTACACAATCGGATTATTTATGCGATTTATCGATTATATTTTGCAAAGATCCTCAACCAGTTTAGTAAATTGGTCTCTATGCCTGATCACAGATCGCGTTATTAGCCTTCATGGTAGTTAGCTGACATTTCATAAAACCGTTTTATTCCCAATTATTCCTAAATGTGGATTATGGAACTAACTTCATCAACCCCAAAACCCCATGATGCAAGTGTACAAAATTAATTAGCATTTTTTTTTTTGTTCTGGTTTGCATGCAGGCGGTTAAAGGGTTAATAGGACCGAGCCGCCAGCTTGTCCCGACTTCTTCCTGTTAACCCAGAGAGCCCCATTCCAAGCACAAGAAGTGGGATTAGCGATCGGAACGTTGCTATGAAGAGGGAGCTCTGAGTGATGGGGTTAATGGGAGATTAGGAATGTACCTTTAAGGTTTGAAGTGCCCACTGCAGATGCGGTTGGAGAGGAGGTCTGGGCAAAGCATTTAAACGCAGTCTGTTCACTGGAGGACTCGTCTGAGCTGCCATTATCTTTCTTCTGCTGCTCATCAAAGGCTCGCATGGACTGAAGGGTCAGTTGTTTCCTTGAGAAAAACAAATCGCACATTTTAATGTGTATAATTCCCCGCACAGAATATAAACAGCCAGGAGACAGAAGTATTTGACCTCTGGTTTAATGTCCTCACCACTGGAGACCTGGCAACCTCCGGCCCTCTGCAGAGTACAGGCCATAAAGATCACACTACACCTCCACACCTACCCTATTCTGCTGATTTACTGAAGGGAGGACAATATGTCATTAAATACATCCACATATATATATATATATATATATATATATATATGTGTGTGTGTGTGTATGGATGTATTTAATGACATATTCTCCCCCCTCTCTCTCTCTCTCTATATATATATATATATATGTGTGTGTGTGTGTGTGTGTGTGTGTATATATATATATATATATATAGATAGATGTATTTACTGACATATTGTCCTCCATATATATATATATATATATATATATATATATGTGTGTGTATATATATATATATATATATATATATATATAGATGTATTTAATTACATATTGTCCTCCCTATATATATATATATTTATATATGTGTGTGTGTGTGTGTGTGCGTTCTCTTGGTGTTAGGTTGGAGTTGATATATATATATATATATAGGTTGGAGTTGATATCTTTATGTTAAAGATAGTGAGTTGATGTTAGGATAAGGTGTTGGTGTTGATATTTATATATATTTCTCTTGATGTTAGGATAATGTTTTATATATATATCTTTCTCTTGTTAGGTGTTAGGCTAAAGTTGGAGTTGGTGGACTGGTGTAAATAGTCCAGAGTGCATATATGGATATATGTCCAGTCCAGCGACTCTTAACTTTATATATTCTTTCAATTACACAATCATATAATGTAATTCCTTCTTGTTTTTGTCAGAAACGTCAAGCGATTAGTAAATCAGCTCATATCCAAGAAAGGGGAACCAACCAAATAGGCAAAATTATGCAGATCTCACTAAATGTAGCCACTGGAAAGGTTTTATTTTTTTATTTATTGCAAATATTGTTTATCAGATCCATGAAGGACACAAAACTGTTTAGGATTTTCGGAAGTAAATGTCGTTTGTCCATTGGTCTCTCCATGCATCTGTATATCTGTCTTGTTTTTTTGTTTTTGGTTCCCCAAAATATATCATAATTATTCTATATTTTTTTTTTCTTTCTCTCGGTAACTCCACCATCTATGTACCTGTTTAGGTAAGCCTTTATCTATCTGGATGTCTGTTTTTATATCTGTCTATACTTCCAAGCATATTCCTATTTGAGTATGTAATTATGTAGGCACTGGACTTTTATTCCTAAAAGTGCTCTCTCTCTCTCTCTACTCCTATTTATCTCTCTTCCTCTCTATATAAATCGTTATGTCTCTTTAAATCTATCTCTCTATTTATATATATGTCCCTATTTATCCCTTTATGTATATATCCATATTGCCTTCTCTCTCTCTCTCTCTCTCTCTCTCTCTCTCTCTCTCTCTCTTTTCGCCCCCCCCCCCTCTCTCTCTCTCTCTATATATATATACATATATATATGTGTGTGTGTGTGTGTGTGTGTGTATATATCTCCCTATTTTCTCTCTCACACACAAATACATATCGATATCCATAGCCTCTCTCTCTTATCTCTTCTTTCTTTCTCTCTCCCTCCATCCGTGTAGATTTCTTGTTCTCTGGGACTTGTAGTTCCACAGTATTTATTTTTTGCAGCTCCCTATGTACCTATGGTCTGTCTGTACATAGACACAGGCGCCTAGCTGAGAAATGTTACAAAGGGAGACAAAGTCATCTGGCAGTGTGGTTAGAAATCCAAGCCGTGAAATGGCTTCTATTAGGCGCTGGGGTGAGATGGCTGAGCTATGTGACAGCACAGTGTCATCCTGCCCTTTCTCTCTGAGGTGTAAGAAATTCTTGGGCACACATAGGTGGTCAGTCCCAGGGCAGCTCAATCCTAGGCACTATGCCTCTAAATCCAGCCATGGCAGCAGTGACAGGTCCGCATATTTCTCTGGTAGCCTTGATTTCCATCTTCTATATATAAATAGAAGTTTGCAATATTCTCTGGAGGTATGGGGAACACGCAGCCATTAAACAGTGGAGAGTTCCCCGAGTGTATGATGTCTGTTGGCTCAGCGTTTTATCTGGATCCGAAATAACATTTACTTTCATATTAATGGGACAGCCAAAATACGCAGCTCTCCCCCACCGTGTTTATTTTAACTGCCTTCGGTTTTATGAACAGATTTTCAAAACTGTAATTTTTTTTCATGGTCATTTAATAGAAATGAAAATTTCCTTGAAACTTTCATGAGGTTTGAATAAAATTAACAACTATGAAAGCAAACATCGATCTAAAATATTCCATGCTGCAGCCCAAATTCATGTAAATCTGACTGTGACTTGCAGTAAGAGGTTAATAATGGTACACAGAGCTGAGGACACAATGTAACGTCCCATCCAATGGGGTAACCTGCTCACAGAACAATGTAACCTGCTCCTAATCGCAAAACAATTGGAACTGCACAGATGCAAAAGAGCACCATGTTGTCTGATTCTAACCACCTCTACTACTGTCTTTTATATTCACAAAAATCAAGTATCAACTACTAATAATCATACCAATAGTAAATAACAGTCACTGTTACAAAATGATACTAACTGGATGTAAACAAACATATATATTAAAACAAAACAATATATATATACACACACACACACACACATATATATAAACACACACATATTGTGTGTGTGTGTTTTATATAATTTATACAAATACAAGCAATTGCATATTGTAAAATATTATACATCATGTGCAATATATATATATATGTATTTATTTATATTACAGTATGTTCTTACACACACACATATATATATGCACAAAATACAGTAATTTCTATAAATAAATAAATAATTATATATATATTTATATTTTTACAGTATGTGCTGTATATATATAAATATTACAAAAAACCTATAGCAGGTATGCAGAATGGGATAAGGCTACAGTGATTAGATCAGCCTAGTCGAAATGAGCACCATGCACGATAATAAAGGAGTTAATCTTGCTATGAACTAGTAAGGACTGGAGCTTTATGCTGGTTAATACCCCCCCCCCCCAAAAAAAAAAAAAACACCAAATAAACAGTCAAAGGCTGTCATAGACTCACCTTTTCTCCCTCCTTCCATTGCCTGTGTCACGGAAGCCTTTGGCAAACGGATTGTTATCGATTTTTAATTGGGTGATCTGGGGACAGAAAGTGGAGACATTGATGAAGACACAGTAGCCATAAAAGAACTGAATTACTAAAGGAGTCCTTTGCCCCCAGCAGCTGATCACAGTCAGATGTCAGGGTGAAATAAAAGAATGGCACCCTCCCTTGGCGGGGTATTTGGAGTCAGACTTTGGTGAAAAAGACACCTTTAGTAAATGACCCCATATGATCAACCGCAGAAAAAAACAGGACTACTGTAGCTTCTCACAGGCTAGCTGTCTTCTAATCGTTTCAGTACGGACAGGGTTAATTATTCACTGTATGAAGGTTTTGCCATCAGCCTAATATTCTGTAGAATGAAAGGCAAATCTATAGTAGCTGGAGAATTGGAGCTCTCTGTAGGGTGCTGGGGCTCTGCTTCATTAGGAACTTCTACTTCCATAGGGCAAATGTTTTTTAAATTATAAAGAGGACTGGGACTGTGATTGTGCTTGGAGCATTTGTTTCCAGTTATCCCCCCCCCCCCTAACTCCCTCACCCCCTTCCCTCCTCTTTCCCAGTCTCACCTTAGTAGAGCCAAGCCAAAGTCACTACATAATGGAGTTTTTTTTTAAACCACTGTATTCCACAGGGCTTTAGGTCAAAAGACAATCATGTAATGTACATTTCAGAAAAAATATTAAACACATCTATATGCAAAACATGCTCTCCATGATCTCTTCTGAAATGACCGATATTTAGAACTGTAATATGTACATTTTACAGTTGAATGCAAATTAAATATGAGCTCACAATAAAAGTATCATAAAAGAGCCCTGGCTGATCAGTGTTCTTTAAATCAGTTTAGAGAAATCAATAAATAGTACATTGTGGAACTTGAGGGGTCTATCAGACCAGCACAGCTGAGACTAAAAATGACCAACTATACTAAATCAGACACAAAGTCTGTATTAATATATAAAGAGTTTCTACTCAAATTGGGGTTTACTAGTTCAGAGTTTGCCATTTGTCTTTGAAGGGAATAATATATTGGGGGGGGGGATAGACCTTGAAGACTGTTGCAAATTATGAAGTGGAAGCAGCACATGCCATACCCATAAAGGTGGTGCTGGGATGTCTCATTGAATGTCACTCAGACTCCCCTTGTCAGGGACAGATCTGCCCAGCAAAGGCTATATAACAATGTTAAACATCTCATAGTCTCCATATTGTTAAATATTTACAAGCAACACATGCATTACCACTTTGATCTTTCTCAGGCATACCTTGTACTGACGAAAGTGGAAAGTCCACTCTTTAAAGAGCACAACAAGCTGAGACACCGATTTTCTAAGTCCACCATACATTTAATGATGTGCCCTCTGTCAGATAAGATAGTCAAGGGTGGAGGAGGGATGGGGGAGGGGTGGTCTACCTTCTTGACTCTGAGTATCAATGCATAATAAAATCTTTGTGGAAAAAAACGCCAAACCACGTTGAATAAATCCCTATAAGCTTCTTACCTTATCATTCTGGTATGCAGTCACTGCAATGAATTCAGTCTCAGGGAACACATAGGTTCTGAATGTGCTGTAGGGGAGTTTCAAAATGTCATTTGCCCGCACTATGTGGAACCGGGGTTGGTATTTGTGCATTGAATTTAAAATGGTCTGCAAAGTCCAAGAAAAAAACATCACTTAACATACAACGACTTTATCGCTCAGATAATGAGGTGTATTTTCACTAAAATGCTACATTGTGAAAACCATAAAAAAAAAAAGCTTTGTGACAAAATAATTCAACTAAAAGAACTAAAATACTAACAAACGTGGCCTGTAATTTGTAACATGGTATACATAGAACAATATGGCTACACAACTGAATAAAACTGATTGATGCATGACTCATTGTAGCAAAACATATTTTTAATTAATACGTGCCTTAGTTACACAAGTCCTTGTTGGCTAAACAGTTTAAAGTAAATAGCAAAAGTAATGAATAAATAAATATATCTATATATATATACACTATGCATGTCAATACAAAGCAATAAAAGTTTTCAATAACTCATCCAGGACCTGCACGTCTAACGACCATGTAGAAAATCACAAAGTTTTCTGCATAGTCTTCAATAGCAGAAAGCTTCAAATATATAGAAGTCCTAGATATACAGACAAGAAAGCACATATAAACCCTGTTATTTTTTTTTTTTACGCAGACTAAAAGGAACCTGACATAATTTATCACCCACTCTCAACTAATCAACGTGCTTATTTTATCTCATTAATAAGCCGCTTTCATCAGCTGGAGTAATAAAGCTATCAATTCCACTGAAGAGAGCAGAAAATTAATTTGCATCTAATTCAGCCATCGATTATATGTTTGAAAGCTCACACTTTATTATCTGTGTCACCCCTGCAGCCCCTGTGCGCACAGCGGCGCTTTTATCCCCCATTTATTTTACTAAGTTTACTTTTGGTGGCTCCGCTATAAGGAAAGGTAAAAAAAAAACAAATGTTAAAAAAAAAAATAAGACACGAAATACAAAATTGTACTGCATAGACAAACAAGTCTAGTGACCAAAAAAAAGTTAAATTTCTGCAACAATATTGTTTTTATTTGAGTATAAAGAGAGAGAACGAGAGATAGAGATTGACATAAATGTGTGTGCTTGTGTATGTGTTCACATATTTTAAAATATATACGTGTGTACATGTGTATCTCAATTTATTATAATGAATATAGGTGTGTATATGTGTCTCCATATGTTATAACACATCTGTGTGTGTGTTTCATTCATTTTATGTGTGTGTGTTTCGTGTGCGTCTGCATATACTTTAATAAATATGTGTGTGTCCATTTATTATAAAACCGTTTGTATGTCTCCATATATTATAATATATGTGTCTATTTATTATAAAACATATGTGTTTGTATGTGTGTGTCTCCATTTATTATAATATGTGTGTGTGTGTCTATTGATTATTAAACGTGTGTGTGTGTCTATTGATTATAAAACGTGTGTGTGTCTCCATATATTATAATGTATATGTGAGTGTGTCCATTTATTTTAATACGTGTGTGTGTGTCTCCATATATTATAATATATATGTATGTGTATATTTATTATAAAAACGTGTGTGTGTCTCTATACATTATAATATATATGTGTGTCCATTTATCATAATACATATGTGTGTCTCTCTCTCTCTCTATATATATATATATGTGTGTGTGTGTGTGTGTGTGTATGTGTGTGTATGACCATTTATTATATTACATGTGTGTGTGTCCATAAATTATAATATTAATATATGTGTGTGTGTGTGTGTCCATAAATTATTATATACATGTGTGTGTGTCCCTGTATTATAATGCATATGTGTGTGTCGCCATATATTACAATATATATGTGTGTCCATTTATTATAAAACGTTTGTGTGTGTCTCCATATATTATAATATATGTGTGCATGTCTATTTATTATAAAACGTGTGTGTGTGTGTGTCTCTCCAAATATTATAATATATATGTGAGTGTGTCCATTTATTATAATACGTGTTTGTCTCCATATATTATGTGTGTGCGTGTGTGTGTGCATGTGTGTGTCTCCATATATTATAATATGTGTGTGTGTGTGTTTCTCCATATACAAGTCTCTATATAATATTAGATAATGTATAAATGTTATATATTGTGTAATATTTAACATACATTTTAAAAAGAAGTCGTGTCCTCTAAGGTAACACTTACAAATCCATGCTTATCAGAGATATTGTTGGTGAGTTTGAGTTTATGGAAGGTGACCACCTTGGACATCCATTGCTCCCCTGTAGCCGGGCTGTCCGGGTGGATGTACATCCTTTTGGGCATTTCAGGGTCAGCCTTCCCAGCCACCATCCAGCGGGAATTATGGAACTTATACCTGCAATCATCTGCAGCCACTATATCCATGAGTAGAATGTACTTAGCCTTCTTGTCAAGGCCTGTGCATCGGACTTTAAAAGGGGGGAACATTCTCCTAGAAGAAAAGAAGGGCAAAGCATTGCAGATCCGAGTGCCACCACAATAAAACACAGTTATTTACATACATACAGACGTTCTGTCGGCGTTATAACGAGCAGGGTGCTATAACCGAAAGATCAAAGCCTCTCAGCTTAATGGTTAACCTTGTCACTTGTAGTTAATGCTGCCTCCATTGCATGGAAGGAGTTAAAATCCAGTGTAGGCTCTGGTTATCTCAGTCAATATTTGACGCTGGTTTTCTGAATGAAAAGGGGAATAGATCAATAATATTTCCATGGCCAGGTTCTGACAGATCCCGGACTACGAAATTCGTGCAGAAGTCTGTACGAATGAGGAGGCCACAAAGTCCCAATCTGCAGCAGCAACTAACCAGGAAATGCATGACATCATAAAAGAGCCATCATTCTCCTAAATGTCCATACAGAACTTTAACCACCACAACAAACACACGTATGGGGCCATGCTCTCCCATTGCCTGCTATCTGCTATGTGGGGAAAGTCATAAAATTCGTTTGCTTTTGGGAATTTAATGGTCACATAAACTATATATATGGAAGCTGACCCACAAAGTGCACAAATATCATTTTGTCGTTTAAAGACCACATACACTATATAGGTATATATCCCATATACATAAAGACTGACCTGCAAAAGACCACATGCACCACATATAAGTGGAAGTTGACCTAGAGAGTGCACAAATGTCATGTTGTCGTTTAAAGACCACATACACTGTATGAGGTAAAGGTATATATCTCATATATATATATATATGTAGAGACTGACCTACAAAAGATCACATGCACCATATATAAGCAGAAGTTGACCTACAGAGTGCACAAATGTCATTTAAAGACCAAATACACTATAGGAGGAGGTATAATTCTATATATATATATATATATATATATATATATATATAAATAATCTCACATAAACATATGTAGGTAGAGACTGACCTACAAAGGATCACATGCACTAAACTTTATATAATATATATATGTATATATGTATATATATATATATCAGAAGTTAACCTACAGAGTGTACATATGGCTGGGAGACCTTTATCCATCAGTTGTTGAAATGTAAAAAGCACAAGACCTCAAAGACCAGGTCAATATTTCCCAGGTAGTCTTTACTCCTTGGCAGGACAAGAGCAGATCTTTGAAGCGATAGGTGAAGAATTTTTCCATTCAACCCATGATTGTCTCCTAGAAGCTCCTCACTGTCTGCATTTGGAGTGTCTGTGTGAAGGTTTAGTGTTGGGGCCAATTAATAGATATTTAAAAAAAAAAAAAAACAAAAGGCTATGACTCACCTCCCAGATTTAGTGATGACCATCTCAGTCCCCCTCTTGTGGAACTGTTCCCAGAGATCCTTGGCTTCCAGATGAACTTTTGGATCATCTTCAACTTCTTCTTCTGGTTCAAGGGTTTTGAGAGGCCTCAAATGAGAAGCTGCTTGGTGACCCAAAGAAAAAGGGATGCCTGCCTCGGCGGCACCCACTAATTGATCCATGATGGGCTTGGCTAGGGCACCGGGAAGGGAAAGAGAAGCCCCATTGGGTGGCAGAGCTAAAGTTGGGAAGAAGGGAGGCTGGTGTCCAAGAACGGCGCTCATTGCAAAGTCCGGTGCCCGGTGGGAGAGGAATGGGTGGTAAGCCATGCTTGTCCCTGAAATGACTGGATCTCTCATGGATAAATTCAT